ATTAGCTGTTAACAAACACTGCAGGCCTATGGGTGAAGGTAATTCAATATGATATGCTTGGGCATGCAAGGTAATGGGTTTCAGCTGAATACCAGGTGATACAATCTCTTCAACAGCAGGTTAAATGAGGCTGAGACAGGGACCAGATGGATTTATTTGGGTAGTGGAGGTTTTTTTGGTTGTTTTGTGTGTGTCTGTGTGTGCTTAAGGTGAAATAAAGGCAAGGAAGGCAGAAATGATGTAAAAGAAAAGCACGAGCTCTGCTATATGTAACTGGGGCAGGGCTGGCACGAGGCTCAGGCCTTTGTCCTGCTGAGACAAACCACGCGAGCAGAACACTCCAAAGACGGCGTGCATGGAAGCATTAGCCAAAAAGAAACACTTTTTTATCTATTTACTCCTACTGATAAACAATGGTAGTGCAGAGCAAGAGTGGTCCAGCCCAGCTGAGGAGAGACAAGGGGCAGCTGGAGATACCTAAAGGGAGATTCCAGCAGGACTTCGGAGCCCAGACGCCATCCCTCACCCACACACAAAAGAACCACATCAGCCCTGTACCCAGCCACGGCAGCGCTCTCACTCTGTGCAGAGCAGCCCTTCACAATCCTCACCAAGACACGGGTGTTTTTTTCCCCACTGCCTCCTCCTAAGCTGCAAGAGAGCTGTTGAAAGGTGAACCCCCAAGCAGCAGGCACCCACGGCCAGCTCCTGCCCCTGCCTGGATTTTCTCAACACACCTCACCCATATGAAAACCCATCTGAAATCCAAGACAGGTATCAAAACCAGTAACTGAGCAGAGCAGTGCTAGAGACAGACACAAAGAAAGCACTCACAGCTTTTAGGACAGGTTTCTAACTACTGAACACACTCGAGTGCTTGCAGGCAGAGGCACCCAAGCAGTCATGCCAGTCAGCACCTCCAAAAGCAGGCGGCAGCTGTACAAACAGACATCACCTGGGAACTGCGAGCACTCAGCCAGTGCTCCCAGCAGCCTGCTCTTGCCCAGGTGGGCAGCAAGCACACTGCAGCCCCGCAGGACAAACAGCCAGTGCTGGGTGGAGGGAATGGGCTCAGCAACCTGCCTGCTCCGCTGGAGCTGCTGCGCCCAGCACAGAGCCTGGATGAGCTGCACTGTGCAGAAAGGTAGCGAGGGCTTTGCAGCAGTTAAAGCAGTAAGCGAATAACCCACACAGCTTGACAGCACAGCACGAGGAGGCATCAGGCTAAGCAGCTTGGGCCAGTGCCAGCCACCAGCTGAACATCCCCGTCCTTTGTATCAGGGATGGAAGGAGTCAAGTCATCACCTGCAGCACTGCAAGCCCAGCAGTCCCAGTCTACACAAAGAGAAACCTCAGTCCACCAGATCCAAGACAGGACGATGAGAACAAAGAGGATAAAGCTGACAGCCACCAGCCGAACCGCACAGAACAGAGCACCTCTGAGCCTCCCAGCTTGGCCAGCTCGGCTGCAGCTTGGTCCTGGCAGTAGCTGGCACACGGAGGCTTTACCCAAGGCAGCTGCCCAGGCTGGGAAGTGCAGGCGTGAGCTGCAGGCTGGCACGCAGAGGGATGGGCACCAGGCTTGTTTCTGACAGCAAGCTGGCAAGAACGGCCACAAGGAGGCTGCTGCAGGGATGGCAGCGTGGGACTCAAATATCCACGGCCTCAGAAGCAGAGAAAGCAGCTATTCCCAAGCCCATTTAAAAGGCAGCACCATATAAATACCACTGCTTTAACTGCCCACATGGCTACCGAGAGATTTGTAGTCATTTTGTAAGCAGGGATAACACAGACTGAGGTAACCGCCCGCAGGCCTGTTTGTCACTAACTGGAAGAGCCACAGAAACCCTTTGGATGGTAGCGGGTGCCTGCCAGATTCACCCACGTATCAGAAAGGCTGCAGGTAAAGGCACCCGGTGAGGCAGCTCTGTGCTGCCTTCCACCACAGCTCTCCAGCTACGCACAGCACAAGGTACCTGCGTCCACAGCCCGCTACAAAGGAGGGCTGAACAAAGCCCTGCCAGAGGAGACAGAGGCAGAAGGAGCTCAACCACCCAATTCCCCACTTGGCTGGGGCCTGCAGGGCAGCTTTGAGTTCAGATAACCCTCTGCTCCACTGCAAAGCAATGCTCTCCAAAAATTGGTAACATCAATGAAACCACAGAGTTCAATAATCTAATTTCTGGGAAACACCAAAAATAAGCAGGATCAGGAGAGAGAAGGTGAGAGAGTTCAGTTCTTCTCTCCTCCTTCATAATGACAACAAAGGGAGAGTAGGAAGAAAAAAGAAAGGAGAAAAACACAGATGTTAAAAGCTGTGAGAGTTTCAAGAAAAATAAATGAAGCTCTTTGATTAAACAGACTGCAAGAGGTGAGCAGAGGGGAGAAAAAAAAAAATACTTTTCTAAAAATCTGTTTGTGTTCCACTGAAGATTGCTGGCACTTTCAACTTGCAATAAGCCTCAGGGCCTCTGCTGTTCTCCTTCCTGCACTCCCACCCCAGCTGCTGTGGGCAGCAAATGAAACCCCAATTCTTCCCCTCTACACCTGCACGGATTCTCCCAGTACAATTTGTCCAGGACATGCTACTGGTGCATTTCCTAGCAGTACTTATAAATCACTACTGGATTTGGGTCCATCTAATAGTAACTTGAACAATATTAGCAAAGCCAGTTGTACACACAGCCCTGGATTCAGTTGATGCTGAGGAATTCAGGTCTGACAGCACACCAGCTCGTGACACCACGCCGTGCCTACAGCCTCCAGAGTCCCGCAGCGTTAATGCAACACCAAGGCAGCTCCGTGCTTTATGAGGCTTCGATCAACTTCTGCACAAGACGGACATCAGAGGTGGAAAAGGGCACAACAAGGAACAGATGTGCCAATTGCTTCAACCTTGCCTCCCTGTTTCCAGCTAACGAACTGCACGGCAGCACCGCTGCAAGCTCACGGAGCTGGAGAGTGTCAGAAACCAGGGGGGCTGCCTGCAATCTGCCTCTTTGTCATTGCCCAAACACAGTAACAATTGTCATGGAAGTGACCTACTCCATTCAATGACAAACCTACCAGCTAATAAATGCTATTCTCATGGATCTTTGACACATTAAGTATACATTATTAAATAGTGCTAATATAGACATTGTATTCAGTAGTCATGACCCCAAATTAGCCCCCCGAGGGATACATGCTTCAGAACATCTCTCTGCAGAAAAAGAGGTGGAAAATGTTTACTAAAGCTCAACCTCTGCCCTTTGACTGGTTAAAACTAACTGCCCGTGGCAGAGCAGGATGCAAGCCACACACAGCTCTGATGCTGTCAGAACACAAAGACAAAGTTCCTTCAGATTTCTTCACCATCTCCCACCACTTCCACCTCAGGCTGCTTAGAAGCTGCATGAACACTGGGAAAAATGCAGCTCTCTGGGTCCTCCTAATAATGAGGGCTTGTGAAAGCAGTGAATGTGTTACCAGGAACAGCCCCCGGTCCTGGCTCCACCTCAGATTCCCCATGAGATCTAAAGTCAATCAGGCAAAGCACCAGGTCCCCGGATCCCCCCACAGTAGGTGCAATTGAACAGAAAAGGCTTAAATGGTGTGAAAGTCACAAAATCCGTGGGGTAACCACTTTTACCAAGCGCCCTGTAACACACAGCGCTGTGGCAGAACGCAGCCACCAGGCGCCAACTCCAGAATTATCAAAAAGCTCCCCGGAAGGACGCTGCAGGGGAATTTCTCTTAACAAATTAATCTTAACGAACCGAGGGATGCTGGATTTTACACTGCCAGAGCACTGTTTAACCTACTACTTCCAACCTACTTACAGGACCAAGGGATCCTTCCATGGTTTAAATGATCCAAGCAAACAAGGCCACGCAGCTGGGCCCCCCCCAGGACCCCCCCTGCCCCTCCTCACCCCACTGCCCACAGGTCTCAGCCCCAGCGTCCCTTCAGCCCCCTCAGAAACCATCACTCACCGGCAGGAGGCCGTGCTGCTGCCTCTGGTCAGGGCCGCTGCTGCTGGGCAGTGCTGGGCTAGAAGGTTCTGGAAGTTCTGGAAGCCCCCCACAGAACGGTGCTGGGCAGGAAGGTTCTGGAAGTTCCGGAAGCCCCCCACAGGATGGTGCTGGGCAGGAAGGTTCTGGAAGCCCTGTGGGCCCCTGCACACAGGTGCAGGTACTTGGCTCCTCGCAGCACCTGTCCTCATCAGGCAGCAGCTCACGCTCAGACACAAACACCACCACATCGTTTCCTATTTACACACCATTTTCTGCACCAAAAACAGGCACAAGCACTGCCCATGTCTCAGCCACCACCACACACGTGCCACAGCCCGCGTGAGGTCCTGAGGGGAGCAGAACCAGGCCGAGGCAGCACGGCCGTGGCCACGGCTTTGCTGGGGGCCTGGTGAGGTGCGGGCAATGCTGAGGGGCCCCTCCTGTGATCACCTCACAAGGCAGGGGCTGTCAGTGTTTCCTCAGAGCACACAGACTGGGGATAAAAGTGGATGCGTTCTGTGTGTTTAGCTTTACAGCCGTTTTCAGTTCTTTGTATTAATATAAAAATATACCCATAGAGTGAGAAGCATGGTGTAGGACCAGCCATGTCCCAAGTCCAGGGTGCGGCTGGTCCTGGCTGTGTGTCAGGATGCTCTGGGAGTCCACCAAGGGATGCTGCAAAGGCTTGATTTGGTGAAATAATAGTTTATTACACATTTCTAACCTAAGAAACTCAAAGAAAGGAAGCCCACACACTGGCAACCGCTATTACCATGGCAGAGTGAGCGAGGAGAGGCTTGAGGGCTGGCACTAATCGCATAAAGCTGCAGAGATCAATCTTCTGATCGAGCAACATGGAAAAGCTCAAACTGATGCATCTACTCAGCAAAGGCTGATGCAAGATAACACCCCAAAAAGATGAAGCAGGACAGATTCACCTTCAAAATGAAGATACTTATCTTCCAGAAAACATTGGACAGCAACAAAGAAATTTAAACTACTGGATTCAGCCAAATTGACCATATCACTTTATTAGGCAAGTTGAAAAACAGAATTTTGGAATTAGGAGGAAACACAGCAAAGCATGATGGAAAAGGAAACAAATTAGAGGGAACTAGGTAATATTTAGAAGCAGATTGTCACTGTCCATCAGACAGAAATCAGAATAAGGTCAGACACGGGGCTGGCGAGGAACGGAGAGCTGTCATAATGACTGATTAGCAATGCCAGCCCGGCGCTGAAGTCCGCATGGTGGCAGGTGTTGAGGCTCCTGTTTCGCACACGGGAACAATCATGTGCAAGGGAATCGCTGCACAAAAAAGTCAGCACGGAATGAGAAGTCACTCGGTTGGCAACATTAAACAGAGATGTCATTCAGCTCTTTCCCTCTCTAAAGCCTAAGAGGCTACGAGTGCAGGCAAGCACAAAGTTGGTCAGGGCACAGCTTCACATCCCTATGAAGGGTATGTTGCAAATAATTTATAGCTCACACCATAGCAGGTAGGAGCAGCAGTCAAGGCACCGACCACGCAGGATCCAGCTGGCAGCTGCTCCTCCTAAGTCTCTACCTACAGCCTCAGTGTGACCCTGCCCTGAGAACTCCCATATCCCACAGTGTGGAGCAGTGTCCTTTTCACACCCCCAAAATCTCTGCAGAGGCTCCAGCCCCTTCTGACCGGTGCACTCAGTATGAGGGCAGGCACCTACCCTGTTTCAAATGAACCATGCATGGCTAGGCTCAGATGGGAGAGGAGAAGATCGCTCGTCATCATGTGGGTTTCCAAACTGCATCCTCTATCTCTTAGAAGGGTGCTTTGACCACCTCCTGGTAGGCTGAACACAAGATTAATGCAACCAGAGGCATAGAGCAGATAAAAGGGAGTCACCTGCAGAGCAAGGGGAGGAGAGCTCCAGCTGAGAAGACAAACTCTGAAGCAGGTGGACTTGGGTCTCACACCTGAGCAAGCATTGACATTATAAACAGCTCAACATCTCCCTTTCCAACTGTGTTTTGAAAGAAAGCAGCTAGGACTGCACGGCAAGGAAAGTGATTCAGGCAGAGAGAGCGATTCAGTTTCAAGAGCCAAATCAAGTTTAGGCAGAAGAAAAATTTCAAGCAACTTGGGACTACAACAGCTCCATGCAGAGTAAAAACTCATCTACATTGAGCAAGGAGTCACCTAGTGAATTAAGGTGTATTTGGGCTAGATCCAAGCCTGCAGGGAAGGGGAATGACTGGACTGAAATTCTGGACACACTTGCCTCAAATCTGCTTTAGATGGTTTAGGTGGTTTACTTTGATTTATATCCAGTGAAAATACCAGACCCAATGTGTCTGATAACAAGAAAAATTTCACTGGTATGCAATGTTTATATACAGCATTCAGTATTCCATTTGTGAGCTCATTATTCTCTGAAAATAATATATAGAAAACTACTATTAAAAAACAACACTTGCATACCTTTCATTATTGCTTCTTCTGCTAGAAAGCTATCTCAGGATTAACAGATTATCAGTGCATTAGCATTCATATTCTGAATTCTGCATCTCTGGTCATTTTCTTGTGTTTGCACAGACTGCTAACTTAAAAGCTATGTGAAATTGCTTTGGATGCTGAGTAATATTGCGAGGAAATTGCATTAGATGGAAGGGAAGGGAAGTGTGACTGTTGTGAGGTCTCTGAAGTACATTCCTATTTTACTGCAAGACCCCCCACCTCCCACCCCTGAGAATAATACGGCATTCAATTTTCCAATTATATAAATACATTAACACTGGGTTACTAGAGGCAGATAATTGAATATTTTATCTATTCTACAAAAGGACCCTTCACACTTGAAACTGGAAATAAATAGGGTATACTGCATCAACCTGTGTATGCACAGGTTATGAAAATCAGTATTAGATCCAGAGAATATAAGATCTCAAAATCGAGATCTTGCTAGTGTTCATTATATACGATAATTATTTTAATTCACTGGTATCAGGGTAACTTATATAATAGCAAAAAAAAAAAAAAAATTCCACAATATTTTAGGGCATAGATTGTACTAGTAGAAAGCTCCAAAGAAAGGTATTCGCATTTATACCATTTCAAATCTTAGTCTTCTATAACTCTGTCTTTACAGGACATCAATCACAAGATGAGAGCAACTGTAAGCTATTTTCTAGTAACACACTGCCAATTGCAAGACAAATGTCAGATGTCACAAAATGAGAAGTAACCATTTTTCAACTTGTGAATGCCTTCAAATATATTACAATGAAAGTGTGAAAAAAAAATGACCCTTTCAGCTTCATTTGTTCTGACAGCTGCCAGACCTTGGAGTTTGGCATTTTATCTTCATACTGCAATAATCTTTATGAAACTTAAACAAGGCAGAGGGCAGTGGCATTAGTCTACAATCACCCTCTTATGTACAACACAAAGTTTCAAACTGTCTAGCCACTGAAAAAAAAACAACTATCGTCTACTATTACTCTTATTTCTGTTACAGAGGAAGAAGAGAAGAAACTACTCCCACATCTGTTATTAGCACATGCTAGGTATTAGTTTCTTGCATGCGCAGCTTGTCTTCTGCATTGTATTGCCATGCTACTTGGGAAAAACACATGCTGCTTAAACCTAAAACTCAAGAAAGTAAATTCTAAACTTTTCCTAGAGCAAAAAGTCACTCAATATTGTGTGTGCATTTAGTCCGTGACATTAAATGTGTGGACTTCTGCACTGTATTGCCATGCTACCGATTGCCACTTGGGAAAAATGCATGCTGCTTAAACCTAAAAATCAAGAAAGTAAATACTGAACTTTTCGTAGAGCAAAAAGTCACTCAATATTGTGTGTGCATTTAGTCTATGACATTAAATGCATGGACTTTCTCTGTATTGACAACACACTTCATGTATTCCGGGTAACATTTCTGGTATGCCAGCCACTGGAACATTTAGACATCAAGATCAGGTAATTTTCTCAAATCCAAGCCTAACTGCCCAGGCATTGTGCCATCTTACAACTTTGAGTTTTTGACAGTGTGATAAACACTAGAACACAAGTAGATTATTAACAGTAAAGAACAGAACAGAGGAGAAAAATCAAGCTATGTAGAAATACATTATGGTAATAAAATATGAGGCAATAAAAAAAAAATTGGCTGAGCAGCCCTGAAGTTCCAAGTTATTCGTGTTCTTTACAACCAGTCTCATGTCCCTGCTCCCCCCCCCACCCCCAAGAAGAGTGTGATTATGGAACTCACAGTTCATTTCTTGAAAAATAAGACTACTCTGTAGAACTCCTCCAAAAGAGCTCCAGTGGTATAGTCCAGCATTCTTGACAAAACATCCTGTTAAATAATAAAGATCTAATTTGTAGAGAGTTGTACTTACTTAAGGGAAATATGAAGATATGTGCAAAGAAAAAAAAAAATCTGCTCCAGATGTTAATGCAGTTCCAAATAGGATAACAAACAGCCAAAAAGTATATAAGAAAAGCAAACCTAGAATGCAATTAGTTTAGCCTAAAGTCAGTGACAGGATTGGTTTCACTGGAACCTAGAAGACCTCTTACACCTTACACTATAAGGCTCTTTGCAGCAGCAGTGCTTAGTACCTGAAGACAAAAGCACCACTTAATTAACCAAATTTGACTTTTTTTTTCCCCCGTGAATAAGTGTGATCTTATTTTTTGATCTTATTTTTTCTGTGGAAGCAAAAGAATAAACATCTTTAGTTTTTCTTTAAAAAAATAACAGTACTTGTCATGGCAAAGACGTACAAAATAGAAGCCAAAATATGATGTCAGTGTTTTAAGATTGACTATAAAAATAAGTACATAGCCATAGACAACGAGCACATCTGTACTGATACCAACAAGTACAGTTCAAGTCACTGTTTCAGGGTCAAAAGCCTGATGTCTGACCAGAAATGCAATTCCAGGTTTTAGTTCTCCAAAGCACACGAGCTATTTGAGACTGCAGCTTCTTTCTTGGTTTTCATGATACATTCAGTGCATACAAAATAGTGTAATTCCTTTGACATGAGTATGCCTCTCAGTTCAACCAATCCCATGATGGTGGTTATCATCCCACTGCATTTTTGTTCCTTGTCTTCACTCTGAATAAAAGCACAGTTTGTCACTGAGGTGTACTGCAGGTTCAATGGAGAAGTTTAAAAAAAAAAAAAAAGCCATTGTGAGGGAAGATCATTATTTGAGAATGGGACCTTGCACTTGACCTTTTGAAGAGCATAAATAAGAAAGAAAAAGCTGTAATAAACAAATTGTGACCACTGGATGAAGGAATTCAATAGCCTGTTCCCTCTGCTGCAGTATGTACGTACCTGGAGATTAATTCTCAGTTCCCTCAGTCTCTCCCTGCTCCACCCTGGTGAAATAGCACTGCTAATAGCGATGATTTCTATAATCTGCAAATTTACTAGCTGTGGCTCTGTGCTTTAGGAGGGGTGTTATGTGCAGCTGCTGTAAGTTGAAGTCCTTCAGTCTGAGAAGTAGCTACTGCACTTCGGCGCTCCAGAATCCCTCGTCCACACACCAGGCGCTTTTCATCCAGGGCAGCCAGGTGATACTCACAGAAGTCAATCAGTGATGCCACTTGCTCGTGAAGAGGAAGCGACTTGTATTTTTTCTGAGCCAGGTAGAAGAAAGCTTCAACAAAGGCTTGCAAACACATTCCTGCAAGGAAAAGGAGTTTAAAGGAGATTCATAACACCGTGTGTGCCAGCAAACTGAAATCTTAAAACATAATAAACCTTATTTCTTTGCTACCAACACCAAATATGTATGTGCCATGTGTCAACACATGCAATTGTGCTAGTTAACTTCATTTGATTTAAAAAGCAGCCATATACAACTCTCATTAGGAGGGGAATAAAAGGCCAAAAAGACAAAGCTTTGTTTGCATGTAACTCACACTTGAGCTCATTTTGTGTTTCAGTACAGCAGATGCCCAGGCTGGGTTGCAGACAAGGGATACTCCTTATCATTGAGGTTATTGCAGTTTTTACAAACATCAGCCTGAACAGCACCCTGGCATCCAGATGCAAACAGGTACACCAACAACTGGGTTCAAAATGTGTAATTAAACTGACCCATGATCAGCCTTAGACGCTAGACCTCTACAAGAGGTATTTTTGTTTCAACTGAATAAAAACCAAACAGTCCAATTGTACAAAGGGAAAGTGGTGCAGTGCCAAAAAAAATTGCTCTGCTCTAATAAAACTCTACTTTGCCCCTTCACAAACAAAAGTACCCTGCAGAAGCCATACACTGCAGTACAGAGCTCTTCAGGTGTTTCTTTGATCACATCAACCCAGTAACAAATTACCACAGGCAACGGAAAGAGGGGCTGCATATTAACCCTAATTATTACACTTAAAACCTTGAAGTAATACCTAATTTAATTCTTAATTAAGAAGCCCAACCACAATCAGTTTTGCAGAACACAAGCACCAAGGAACAGTTACAGTTGCTTTGTGTTTTAACTGGCTCCCCCAGTTTGAACATATATTTTAGAAGATTATTTTAGGATGAGATATTGAAATGTTTGTTGTTTTGTTTTTTAAACCCGATGTTGGCTTATTGGTGCCGCAGGAAAGGCACCTTTTCAAAATATTACAATTACATTCTGAAGTATAATTTCTCTCAACTCAGACTGCAGCTGGATTGCTTACAGCCTTGGCTGTAGAACAGCTTGAATTGCTGGGTTATCTGAAAGCAGCAGCTGCCAGCTCAGTAAATTATTTTATCAGTCACGGTGAGCTGCAGACAGGGAAAACACCTTTAGTCACATCCACACTTTCTCCCTCATAAGTGACACTCATGTGAAGCATTTAATGAGAAAAGTTAGAAGCTGCTGTTTTACAGCAACGGCAGCAGCTCTTGTATTGGCCACAGCTGGAAGGGGGCCAAAAGCAAAGCCATCAGAAATGTTTTTTTTTTGTTTGTTTAGTGTGCCTGCTTAACACCTAGAAAACATTGAAACTCAACAAATCTGTTAATTTCTGAAAGCCTTGCTCTTGCTAGCGATATTCTATCAGCTAACCACGTAACTGTTGCACCCACACTGAAATACTGAATGCAAACACTGAGTTCCCTCAAAACCTGCCTAGATACTACTTGCACCTGGAAACTTGTCCACATCGGTGAAACTAACGTGACCCAAACCTGCCTAAAGTAGTGCAGGAATCCACACACAAACAGCCACAGCAATCCCGCTGCACTGTGCCTCCATTTTCTCCCAGCTAATCCTAGGCCTGGATTTATTCTTTCCATCCACCACTTGCAAAGTCTATTTTACTTATTCTCCTTGTGCCTTATCTGACTTCATAACCACAGAGTCTACAGGATATTATTATAGGATATCTGCATTCAACTAAGACAAAATAATACTTATCTATTTCTTACAAACAGAAAATTCATTAACATTTTGGAAGCACGTTTAAATATTCAAATAAGTTTACACAGAAATAATTTCACTGTCATACCTGCCCCCACTCAGAAATTACGTGTCTCACTGAGACTATTGAGAACTGCAGATCCATTTTATGCAAGGGAGTAATGATATCAAATACAAGAAGTCAGCCTCAGCTGGGAAACCTTCTGATTTTTCTGCTATTTTAACATTCAAAAAAATGCAGGATTATATACTTGATGTCCAAGTTCAACTTTTTATATAAAAATCTATTTTGAACCAGTTTCTCAGAAGACGCCAGCTTGCAGCTCTGTGACCAGCATGCTAGTTTATACCCGCGGCACTGAGATTTCTTTATCCCAAGCTTATTTAAATGCAACCTTGACAATCCACCTTGATGGCCACAATGAGCAGCAGTATAAAACCTTCAGCTGTTGTTTCCCTGCTGTAAACTGTTCAAAAAAGACATGTCACTAACTCCCTTCTCAACCAACAACAAATTGTATTAGTGCAATTGAAATTATTCAATGTTTTACAAAAACTACTGAAGAGTTGCCAAATTTAGACACTCCATTTTATATAGAAATGTAATAGCAATTTTAGAACTTAAGTTATATATTAAATGGTGTATTTACACCATTAATATACGAACAGAAATAATCATTAAACTCTACTATTTTGATAGATTACTGCCTTAGATCTAAAAATGTGACCAAAGCAGATGGGGAAGTAACTCACTGCTAAAGTGAGGTTGACTGTCCTTCTAGCAAATTTTAAGAGTCTTTCTTAATTCTATTCGTTTTCAATACGTTTTCTTCATAACTACAAATAAACTCACCAACTCACTGTAAACACCTCACAAAATTATATCTAGAATATATGGATCAGGTTGTTCACAAAGTTATTAAAAATGCATTATGCAAAAGTGGTTTCTTAGCCAGAGAAACACTCTTCATTCTTAATTATTTAATCAAGAAATGCAAACCTTGCTTTTCACTAATAAGGCTGAACATATAATAAGAACATAGATATTCTGAAACCTTCCAAAGTGTCTCATCTTCTGAATGAAGAACTGAGCACGCTATTAGTGTTATTAACCTCCCACATTTTGCAGGGGCTGGGTTCCCAGGCTATGTACATAGCCAGGTAAACCTAGGAATACAGGAAAAGACAACAGAATGCGGACTATGACTTTTTGAAACAAAGATGCTCGAAAACCAACTTCTACAAACATATTTAGAAGAATTTGTCTTGGACAAACAACAGACTTTAAATTGAAAACACATCACATTTTTAAAGCAAAGGCTGAATATTATTATACCTGGGAACATGAGGAATTTTTAGATGTGAGCAAATCTGGGCCCCTCAAGCAATGCTCTGCTGCCCTAGTGCTGCCTACCGTGTTAACACCTTCGTATTATTTCAGAAACATTTATGTTTACTTTAAAAACCTAAGTCCACAAGATAATCAACAGAAGAAACCCTTTGTTGATGTTTAGTAACCACCTATTCTCTTGAGCAAATAATTTGCTTTAGTAACCTCAGGAAAACAAACGCAATGCAATTTGTATTAAGTAACAGGAAGAGGGGCATCCCGGTATCATCCCCAGCATTCAACACTTCCAATTCTTTTAGTGCTGCAGCAATAGTATACTACCACTTAGGACAAAAGTATATATTCAAACGTTTACAGAAATTAGATTTGATGAGGTCTTTGTTGTGAGAAATATTTTCTAATCTTCACCAGTGCAAATACTCACATTGGAAGTTATCTCGCTGATCTGCACGTACAAAGTCAGTTCTAGGGCCCAAGGGTTATCAGGGTGGATCCAATGCTATTATAACCATTTCTCACTGAGGGGAAACTAATTACATCCAAGAACGCCTGCCCTTTACTGAGAGCAGAAGATAAGAGCCAAACTCACAAAAGAAGAAACCACTGACATTTCAATTAGTTGTTTTCCTTTGAAAGGAATTTATGAAAAATCTGTCTGATAAGCCCAAGAAGTGAAAGGGGATGAACTCTACTGTGCGTACAGGTAAACTGAAGACAGTTCATTAAACAGCTTCCCACAGCCGCTGTTCTTGGCTAACATATATTTTAGTTTAAATGCCTTTTCATAATAGAGAAGTAAAAAAATAAATAAATTAGATGCCTGATCTATAACATCTCCCCCTGAGGTTGCTCAATGGAAAGGACACTCCAAGTGTCACACTGTGGTACAAACCTGGAACTTCCTGCAGAATGTGCCTCTGACCAACTGAAAGGAGGAAGAAGTCCAAGGACAAGTGAATCTCCATTAGAGTAAGTTCCCTATAGAAGCCTTTCAGCCATTCTGAGTACATTTACATTGAGTCCTACAACCCACATTAGATGCAAAAATGCTTAAAAGTGACTTAAGTGACTAATGCTCCTGTAAGAACAAACAGGAGCACAATTTGCAACAAGGGGTGCTTGTAGGAGAATGTGCTGCTATTCTTCTTTACTAAGAGCCAATTTAATAGCTGAGCACTGTGGGAGTTTGTGCGGAAACCTATTGTCCTTCCCTGAGCCATCACAAGGACAATGCAAATGGAAAAAAAAAAAAAAAAAGGAGTATACAGTTGGGCAGGGGGAAACTCTCTGGAAAGTATTACGGGTAGTTTTCTTTGTCCCCATAGTAACTCGTTTGGAGAACAGAATTAAATCAAAATGAAGTTAAGCATATTTATTTCTAGCTCCTGCACAGATTTTTGTTTGTTTGATTTTTTGCTAGACCATGTAAGCTACTCTAATACAAACATATCTTCTTACACTGTAATTAAGTTGGAGGTTCCACTGGGAGTGTTTTTAAATGCTCCTCTGCAAACAGCAACAAGAATTATGCATGCAAAACTGCAAGCATATGAAGGGAGAAGATTTGCAGAAGATTTGTTCCAATAAATAAACTGAAAACCAACATCTATTCTATCGATGAAGGTAAACTGTCATAGAACTAAATAGAACAATTTGTTGTACATGTACGTGCCTCAGATTTACATGCCTTGTTCCCATTATTCTTTACTAAAGTTTGGGGTGTGCTTGAGCTACTAAAGCTACAAAAAAAGCTTCCAGAATCTTCAAATACAAAATAGCATTACCTGATTCTCTGTGATCGATTCCCATGCTGTTCCACCTTCTCGTGATATCAATGTATAAGATATCTACCGAAGCCATTGAAAAATTGCTGTTACTCAGTTTGCAGTTTCTGTTAAAATGAACAACAAAAAAAAAGAAGTCTGCTTACTTCCAAACTTCCGAGGTAGAAAAATTTGCGCAAGAGCAATGGAGAGAACACGGGAAGAAAAGTTTACTTGTGTCATACATACACAGTCATACAAAGTCACACAGAACATACAGACAAATAGCAGATGCCAAACAAACCAATGTTCATTAGGTGTATATATCTGAAATGGGAAAGGCCCTGTGTTTTCCATACGCAGAACATCTCACATATGCAACTAGCCCTGCTGTCTGTTCAAATCATGTCAGTGCCATCTTTGCCAAGAAACAGCTCTGGACAGGATGAGCAGTCCAGTTGGAGGCACACATCTAAATCCCATCTGCACATTCAATCTCATGTCAATATCTAGCAACAAAAGGCAGCAGGTCAGATTACAGATTAACTCGTCTATCTTGGTTTTGCAACAAGCAAGCAAAAAGTTCTGAATATTTAAATAAGAAATAAGACTTGACCACCTGTTAAACACAGCTTTCTCTGAGGCTGTTGCTACTACACTTTCTGAGGCCATAGCAGAATGGAGTTAATTGGTACATGGTAAAACCCAACACAAACCTGCACAGACTATCTGCATAAAGCAGAGTTTGCACAGAGAAATACTCTGTTTGACTGACTGATCCTGTTTGGAAAGGGTTGGAGGAAAGCTTTCAGGCACAGAATCATTTCTTCCTGTCTGAACACTGAACAGATTTATCCTATGCATTACTGAGCACTGCACAGAGAACCGCAGCATCTCTGGATGCATCTTAAGCATTTGGTGATAAGCACATGTGGGAGATCTGACTTGTGTGGTCTAAGCCCACAGTATATTGTTGATCAGTAGATGAGAATTAGCCATCTGTCCAGGATTTCCAGATGTCTGGCAGCCTGGATGGAACCAGTGCACATGCCAAAGAGCTGGCCAAAAGTTCTAGCCAGAAAAAAAAAAAAAAAAAAAAAAGATAATTTAAAAGAATCCTAATTTTTAGTAGCCTAAGCAGAGCTTATTTAAAACAGAAGAGTGCTCAGATGTGGCCTAGATAGTCCAAAAATAAAAATAACTTTAAAAAAATGTTAGAGCCTCACTATGTGTTTCTCTTTTTTTTTTTTTTTTTTTTTTTGAATGAAGAAATCATTGAAGGGGGGGGGACAAATTTTGGTTAGCAAAAGTTTGAGTGATAACCGTTGCAACCACTTGCCCAAACGTTTGCACATACACACAAATCACATTTGTGTGCCATTTCATTCTTGAAAAGTGAGACAGAACACATCTCAGAAACAATCTTCTTTCTGAAAGGAGCAGTAAAGACAGCATTTCAGAAAGAGGCCAGACAACTGATGTAGATCCTCTGGGGGAAAATAAAGAAAAATATTTGCTAATATTAAGAAGTTTAAGTTAACATGCATGAGGAAACTGCAAAGAGTATTCATTATGATATGACAATTTATTTTATTATTATTAAAAGAAAATGTTGGCATTTATACTGTGCTCATCTGACAAGTGCCAAGTTAAGGCTGGACCAAACAATAGAAAATACAGAACTGGAAAACATCCTGCACTGGTCTGTAGATAGAGCAGATGCCTTCAGTATTTTTCTATATATCTGTAATTTGTATAAATCAAATTGTTTATATTCATTCCTGAATACTAAATGCATCTGCACAGAAACAGAATCTATATTTTAAGACTACATCTGCTGCTTATTTATTTTGTCACTGTCAATGGAAGCAGAACATGAGATATTTGTACCATGACAAGAACAGATTCATCCATAAAAAAAAAGAATGAAAAAAAATTAAAAGTTTGTGGAAAAAAAACAAATTGAGTTCCTTGCAACTGCAAGTTGCAATTTCATAATGCAAATCCTTAGTGCACAATGCATTGCACTGGCACTTGGAAATCCTTCACTTTGGCCTGGGGCAGAGAGCTGTGGCCCCACAGCTAGCAAAATCAGATCTCAAGTGACCCAATTTCAATTGTCACTTTTTCACAATTGTATTCCTGGGGTTTACTAGAAGCATGACATGCTGACAAGGACTGCAAATACTGTCTCTCAAAGTACTACTGATCTGCTGTCGAACAAAGACCCACATTTCTACTAGACACAATCATAGGTCAGGCATTTGGGGAATTTGGAAGTATATATAGTGTTTTATATTATTTTTAATATGCAATGTTTCAATGGAACTTAAGGGGAAAAGTTCCTTTAAAAGCTATTACTAAATCTACCAGCTAAAAGCGTAAAGCTGTTAAGGCCTATTTTTATCCAACAAAACTGAAAATAATCAGTAGTAGCAGTACCAGTACTGCTTCCCAGTAGGGCTTTGAGTTTCTAACTTCGTGTGCTACACCTCATTCCATTCCTAAAGAGGACATATTACTAACCTTATAAATGTTCGGAAACCTGTTGGCCCCAACTTTGTCGTCCCTTTTACACCAAGAAATCGGATAAACAACGCAGCCACTTTGTCCACAAGTCGCAGATAATTGAACTGCTTAGCATACTTTGGAAACACCTGCTTGAGACAAAGGGAAGGCAGGCCTGCCTCCGTAGTTTTGCTGGTATCATATTCCAGTCCGTCTGCTGGTCCTGCATCCAGTAGCTCATCTTTTGTTTCTGACACATGCTCTGAAGTCTGAGATCTGTAGCATAAAATAATTGTATCTTACGTTAACCTTACCCTTGCGAGATTCAGTAGTTGTCTTTCTGCATTTATTTATTTGTTGTTACTACCAGCAAACTAATTTAGTTTAAAAAGCAAGTTACATGAAATTTCATGGAGCATTTAATGGGAAATACTTAGAGATCATAATAATCCAGTGCTGTTTTTAAACTTATTTTCCAATAATGTTTAGAAGCTCCTATGCTCCCTGATAAGTGAGGAACAAAAAGCACATTAAGATATGTTTGCAAAGAAGAAATTCTATCAGTATATTCAGAAGTGATACAGTTCACATAAACGCATACAGCTACAAGTCCGAAGACAATTTCTGGGCAATCCCATTATTTTTTCTACAAATCCTCTGTGAATACTGTCAAAATATATTATTTCATCTTCATTGTTGTTGCCAAATTCTCTAAATAAAGCTGGTTGAGACAAAGATTAAGAAATGAATATCATGTTTATTCAGCATGACATTTTTACATTTTTTCTGCTTTTGACACACCTAAATAAAATTGAAGATTGCTACTGTCATAAGCTCAGAAAGTCTGATAGCTGCACCCGCGAAGTATCCACAGGTTTTCATTTTCTTTCCCGTCGCTTTTCTAAGTACAATCATTAGGAATATAATTCACACTACATATTTAAAAATTAGTGCTTTTACTACATTGATCTTTTATGCTCCTGAGCAGATTTGGTGTCCTTCATAAAGTTCTATTCCAACAGAGAATAACAATCAACATAGTTATTATCCACCCACAGTACTTTAAAAATTATCAAGTCAAATCTACAGCAAATCTGTACCTTCCAACTCTCATTCTAAAAGGCAGCAGTTTTCCTTAGCCCACTTCCAGACAACCCGTATTCAGTCATCCATACCAAATATCCCCGTGGGATTTTCAGCTTCCTTTCTCCTAAGTTTCCCTGAAAGGCATTAATCCATTGACACGCTGTCTTCTTTCAGTCTAGGATACTTCAAAGTAATACTTTTAACTTCCAGTGTGAGGCATAATGAAAATAAATGTATGGCAACATTAACACAAAGGAAAAAAGTAAGGACTGCAAAGAAAGTGTGAATTATGCTGTGATATCTAATGTCTAAAAGCCACTTCTGGAGCCAAATTTTGAGCTCTCATAGAATCTGGGCTTTGAACTTGCTCATTGACACCTACAGATGACAGCAGCTCGCCCTCAGCTGCACCACCTGCAGACTGTGAGCCCAGCTGTGGCTGCTCGGCACCGAACCATGCAAGAAACTTCTCCCTGCAGCACATGCCACCTCTAGGTTTGTTTAGATGAACTGCAAAGATGAGGCCGCAACAGTTCTTTGTGAAAAGCATCTGTGTTCAGCCTCTTTTGGTGTTTGTGTAATTTTAAGCGCTAAGCCATTGCTGCTCTGGGGGACTGTCACGCTGCATTTCAGGGAGTTCTCTTCTGGTAACAGCAATACTGTTATAAAATATTCTAATAATGGTACTTGTTTTGTAATCACACTGGTTTTCACCAATGTTGAGTAACAGTAATTTTTTGATAAATGAAGGATTTTTAAAAGTCTTTAAAAAAAACTGAGGCCATGCTTTAATAACATTCCTCTGCTGCAAACAGCAAAGTAGAAAGATAACGTAACATTTGTCATTAAAGATTAAAATATGAATTCCTAATTTCATTCTGCTTCACATGAGATTGGACAGTGATTTCACTGCCATCAAGTACCTTCTGGAGGCCAAACGAGGCAGAGTATGTACAGCCAAGAAAATAATTATGCTGTCTTCTATTTTTAATCCTACGAGGTCTGTTCACAAATTTAAAAATTCCAAACTTCATCCAGATGAACTAGGACATGACCAAGTGTGAAGCCATGTAGGTTACATTGTTTGTACCATAACTCTCATTTAATTAAGCCTCTGCAGAACTGTAGTCATGTGTTGCTGTTCAGAAAAATCCTGAAAGCTTTCTAATGGTAAACGCAGTAGTATTTTGGATTTAGAAATGTTGAAATAGAATTAGACTGTTAGCTCTAAAGAGCTTCTAAACCAATACCAAATTGCTTTTTGAGCATCAGAAAATCTGTTTGATCTACTGCTGGCTTTCACTACTAACATTTTTTATTACACCAAGGGGGCCGATCAAATCGTATTCCTGTACAGATAGCCCAAACCTCTCATCTTGTGTTCCAGTTCTTTTCTCCTGTTTCTGTCACAGACCAGCCGTATCTCCTGTTAGATGTCCGATCCAAATATCTGTTCTCCTCTGCAAGTAATCAAGGCTTCTCATCAACAGGCTACCTTTCTACTGAATATTTTGAAAGTCAAAGTCAGCCACAGCAATCTGTGTGAATTTGGAGGAAATGCTTTGAACCACACAGATATCTGGCGAGCTGACAATAAGACGCGTTAGGATGTTATTTCAGCACTCAAGAGCACACGTTCACTTTTCAGGAGTGAGTGTAAGCCAGCCCACCTCCACAATGGCAACTAGGCGATCTACACGCTTCTGATGTTTTTTACTTATACCTTAATTGTGATAAAAATTCAGGGAATAGTCTTCGCTTCAATTCCTCAAATCAGTTTCACCTTTGCCCTGACACCTGAAGGATATCTCTATGAATTTCAAGGATGCACAACCTGTTTAGAGTACGCAGGTTTGTCTTTCTTAGGGTCTTCTTTCAGATTTCTGTCCAAGATAGTCAGCTGCATTTTGTGGAATAGCTAATATGTAGAGAGGCAGTGAGAATATCTGTAAAGACATCTATCTACTCCTGGGAACCAAGGCATGAAAGGAATCTCTTGGATCATCACGGTGAGTCCCCTTAATCTGGACATTTCTACTAATAATAAACTCTCTTTGCAAAAAAAGTCCACTATTCATCGCTGGTCCTGCTCCAAATAAACTGATACATTCTCAGTTAAGTTTCCTTTTTCAGACTATTTTCAACATTCTGCTTTTAAAATACCATTCAGTACCTAAACCGAAAATAAATAGCAAAAATAATGGTTTCTGTTTCTTCCCAAATCATGGGAAAGTAGGTCTGTCACCCAATTCTGTTTGGTTGCTGTTACATATAGGAAGGTATTAAGTGGTGGAAAAAATATGGAAGATCCTATCTCCCTGATGTAGGAGGAATGGAAATTTTTTGTTAGAAAGGAGAGAGACAAATTATTAAATGTTTGATATGCATTATGGTAATAGAAAACTGTTTCTGTTCATAGAAAAAAAAACTCTATTATAGTCAAGAATATTGTTCAATACAGAGCAGAATTGCCACCTAGAATTTATTTTCTTCCTCCACAGAAAGGAAGGGAAGAACCTACAGCTTCCTTTGAGATCAGGGATAAAAACTCAAAACCAGTTTCCCTATAACAGTGCAGTTAAGGTGCAGTTTCACCATAACTGCAGGCATTCACACTGCGTTCAGAGAGTAACTCTCCACTGCTTCCACAGGTAGTACTTCAATAAAATTTTATTTTCTGTGTATCTCTTCAGCATAGCTGTATGCACCCAATCTCTGTGTGGTTTCAACTAATTAAGAAAAACTGCCTAGCTAGGTATATTACAGCTAGACTCAGGATCCATAAAAACAGAGTTTTACTGTGATCTGCACATTTTTGCAAGGGAACAGTGCATGACATATTTTTTGCCCTAGTGCTAAGATAAATTACACTCTGTTGCAATGCACCATTACATTTTCTTCTGTATTTCAGGTGCCATCTGCCATCTACACACCATAAGGGTAAGCTGGATGACATAACTCCCCAAGGGTCACCCAATTAAAGACGTGTGTAAGCACTGTCAGTACAGCTACAAGAAGCAGAAATACAGCCCAAAGTACTACAGCAGTGAAAATTTATGAGGGATTTTCACCTCTGTTTCTATTGTTAATTCAGTCATATGGCAAATATAGAATTACCGTTTTTGTAATATACAGAACACTTCAAGTCACTAAAAAACTTTTATGCAATACTTACCATCCTGTTCTTTCTTACTCCAGAACATGACTTCCAAGCAGCATCTTACTTACTATGTCACTTGGGACTCCATCTCGGGAGTCGCTGTACAACACACAAGGTTCTCATGCTTTGCTCTAGTCTCCCTAAAAACCTTGCAAAATGTTTGTGGACAAGTGCTGCAGTGGAGTTGTGGGGAAGGGGTTAGAAACTCCAAATTGCTGAAATGAATCTCTAGGAAGGGAAACTTGCAGAGACTTTCTCCATCAGCTCCTTTCTCATGGGCTTTCCAACAGGCAAGGGGAGCAGAAGAAAGCTGAGCCCTGCACTTTAAAGTTGCTCCTCAGAATTAATTGTTTTGACTGACACAGCTGAGTCAGGCTAAATGAATGAAAGGTCAACTATAAGGTAATGCTTCTGGTGCCATATGGAATAAAAGCAAAGCTTAATTTACATACTAATGTCTGACCTCAATACATTAATTTTTCTAATTCTGCAGCTCATGACAGACCTCTCTTTAGAAATGATCAACCACGGAAAAATATTAACTGCATCTTTAAAAAAATAAATTCAATTTTAATAAAGCTTAAGGAAACATCTAAGACTACTTATCTTTTATACATGAGTACTAACTTATTAATGTTTTCTCCATCTATGTCCTATCCCTTTCATTCTGACCAGCCTTAATCTTTATGTAAATACAAGTTGCTAAGGGACAAACAAATTTGCAACCACTAATCAAAGGCTTCAACGTTCACACCATTTTGTATCCTCGTATAGAAAATTTAGCTGTGCAGTTCAGAGTAAAATTAGGTAAAAAGAATTGGAATATTAATGTTTCTAAGAATGCTCACTTGATATGTTTAACATTTAGGGCATTGCTAGAAATTAAAGTTAAGCTTTTTTTTTTTTTTTTTTAAATCAGCTGACAACCACTTACCTAATTGAAGAAAATAGTATGTTCTGTATTCTAAAGCTATAATTATTCCCTCAGCTGAGCCTCTATTCTCAAAGCAAGGACTATGTTAAAGTTAAA